CCAGATTGAATACTCCTTCCTTTTCGTGGCATTTAGAATCCACATCTTCTACATAGCTTACTCTCATAGGCATATCTATGAACCGATGTAAATCATCCGGTATCTTTAGTAACCTCTCTGCACCCGGAGATGACACCTTCAAATCAAAAGTAGTTTTATACACTAAACATATTTGTATGGATCAAATTCACATGATAGAGCCAGCCATTTAATACCTCAAGAGCCAAATTTTCAGGTATTTCTCCAAGTGCTCCAACTTCATCTAATCTTTTCTTGTATTCTTGACTGTAGCTTTCAAGTTCCTCCATGCTGGGACAACCATATCTGATAAAAGTAGAACATCATATCAGAACCTTAACATAACAAAGGGTTGCATATGAAGAGAATTTCATAATATATAAAGTTCATTTTTCCTCCATTTACAAAGCAAAACAAACTTGCGAAGGCCTTTATTTTATTTTTGTGACAAGTAGCCTTCAGCAAACAATCAACGGAAGGAAACTGAGAATCTGAAGTGTTGTCATCTTAAGCATGTGCTATTCTCCTATTTGCAGTCTGGGAAAATGAGTTTCATCTGTTAACTGCCAAAATTTGTATGTTAAGCTGTTTATTAAAAAAAAATTGCTGAGAAGAGTAGAAGAGTTACTCGTTTAACAGTTTGTCCAGTCTCACATATATATATCCTCGAGGAGTAGTCTTGAAAGAAAATAGCTTGACATTATCTCCAAATTGCTTTAAGGCCTCATGAGCAATGGACAGAGCCCGCTCACCCCAGGGGACACCGTGCAATACCACCCCACCACCATCACCCCCATCGCCAATCTGTACAAAATCAATGACTAGCATCAAATGAAACATCAATTTTAAAGCCAAAATGAAGGTTGAGCAATCAAAATGTTGAAGCCAGACCATTGTACCTCAGGCTCACCGACGTCCTCTTCCTCCCAACCATCTGTGGTGTCTCCCTCTTCCCATCCACCTGAGGTCCCTTGCTCTTCAATTTCTTCACCTGAAAATGTGATACTTTTACACACTTGAGAAGCAAACAATATAAGGAATGTGTAAAGAAAACAACTATATAAGAAGAAGACCACATATATTTAGTTATTAGCTACTAGCTCTCTGTAAGATTTAGAGTGATTTTACAAACAAACAATCACTGAAGTTGTGGCCTTGATAACTAGTAACATAAGGAAATGTGAATGCTTAATTACCATTCAAAGAAGCATAAAGATTTTTTTTATTTTTTTTTATGTTTTATAAATTAAACTTCTTAGAGATTCCCAACAAATTACATATAAATTTAACAGATCATAAATGGGAAAATCGGATGAACGAGAAAATAGAGATGTACCTTGAAAAGGGTCATCCTGATTATCCTCAGTATCCTCAGAGGACTCTGTGTTTACGAAGCGAAGAGTAAGAAAAGGAAATATTGTGAGACAGGGTTTAAGAGAGAAACCAACCAAACCAGAAAGATAGGACGAAGAAGAAGAAGAAAGAGGAGGAGAGTTCAGGAGAAAGGGTAATGGGCTTTTGGGGTGGGCTGATAGGAACGAAAGGCTTCTGAAAGATGAAGAGGAGGAGACGAAGCACCTGCGAGCACTGAGAAACTGTAGGCTCCTCCTCATCATCCTTCTCTCTCTTTGGGGTTTTGGGTTCTGGGTTTTGGCAAGCAAAGCTCCCTCCGTCTTTTACTTTCAAGTGATTTGCCGGTTCCGCGGCGTTCTTTTTCTTTTTCTTTTTCGGGTTATGATTTCGATACAAGGAACTTAAAGAAATAAAAAATAAAAACTTCTACTGCCTTTTCTCAAGAAAATTAAAAAGATAGTGATTTATGGTGATCGTCCTGTTTTCGAATTATTTTCTTAAAGTTCAATTTAAAATATATATTATTTTTATTCAATAATAGGTGAGAATTATGCATATAATACGTAAATTTTGTGTGTTTTATTGAAATTTTTGTAAAAAATACATGTATTAAATATGAGAAATACGTGCATACGTGTATAATACATTATTAAACGTGGAAGTGCTAAAATATTTATATGGTTAATAACTCTAGAAAAGTACAAAATCAAAAAGGGGCAATAGCTACTCAAGTAATGGCCTAATAGTAATGGATATGGCTCTTGGGCAATTAAGACACCCAAACGATTTCACAAAAGACTTGATAAATAGAAATTAATTATTTTGTGGACTTTTTCTTTAAACTTTTTTATATTAAATAAAAAAATAACTAATAATTTAAATAATTTAAAATTCCTACGATATTACTTAATTAAATATACTAAATTAAAGAAGTAGGACAAAAAACAAAAGTAAAGAAACTAATTTTATATTTTTAAACTTCAAAATATTTAAAAATAAAAAACCTGTCCCAACGAAAGTTCGTCAGCACAGGTATATGCCGGCGAAATTTCCAGATAAATTTTGTTTTTAAATAGTATAGCCGCACGGCTATACTACTTATTAATTTAAAAAAAAAGGATGTGCCCAAAGCATAGGTGCCACGAGTCAAGTGCGTAACGCCGGGCGGCTATACTATTTTTAAAAATAATAATAAAAAAGCGTATAGCCGCACGGCTATACTATTCCTTAGCAAAATTCAAAAAAAAAAACTAGTACAACCGGGCAACTATACTATACATAAAGACCTGCACAACGCCCATGTGCCACAAGTCAAAAGAGTAAAGCGTGCTGCTATACTATGTTTTAAATTTTTTTTTAGAAAAAACTAGTATAGCCGCACGGCTAACAATTAGGAAAAAATTGAATGTAGCCGTGTGACTATTTATATAAAGACCCGCACAGCACCCATGCGCCACGTGTCAAAAGAGTAAAGCATGCTGCTATACTATGTTTTAAAAAAATTTAGAAAAAAACTAGTATAGCCGCACGGCTAACAATTAGGAAAAAAACTAAATTTAGCCGTGCGGCTATAACTTTTTTAAAAATACATATTATTTTTATTCAATAATATATGAGAATTATGCGTATGATACATGAATTTTGTGTCTTATTGAATTTTTTGTAAAAAAGTACGTGTATTAAACATGAGAAATACTTTTGTATGTGTATTATACATTATTAAACGTGAAAGTGCTAAAATCTTTATACAATTAATAAATCTTGAAAAGTAAAAAATCAAAAAGGAACAATAGATACTCGAGTAATGGCCAAATAGTAATGGATAGGGCTCTTGGGCTATGGCAAAATTTAATTAAGAAACCGAAATGATTTCACAAAAGACTTGATAAATAGAAATTAATTATATTCAATAAATGGGTATAGCCGCCCGGCTATACTATTTTTAAACAATGAGGAAAAACTTAGTATGGCCATGCGGCTATACCTTTTTTTTCAAATATATATTATTTTTATTCAATAATATGTGAGAATTATGCATATAATACGTGAATTTTATGTCTTATTCAATTTTTTGTAACAAATACATGTATTAAACATGAGAAATACCTACGTATGTGTATAATACATTATTAAACGTGAAAGTGCTAAAAGCTTTATACGATTAATAACTCTGAAAAATGACAATAGATACTCGAGTAATGGCTTAATAGTAATGGATAGGGCTCTTGGGCTATGGCTAAATTTAATTAAGACACCCAAACTGTAACAACCTGGTCCTTAATTAATTTTTAATTATTACATTATTAGAGAAAAAGACAATTTTGCCCTTAGAATAAATTATTTGGGAAAAAGTTGACTTTTTGACCGGGAAGGAATTTGGAAATTTCAGTTGTACCGTTGCATAGAGCACGTCGAGATGAGCCCGTAGACACGTAGTGAGCTCAAATCGGAGATGTAACGAAGAAGTTACGATCAAAAAAAGTTTAGTGGCATAACCATAAATATTTCAAAGTTCAGTTTTAAAACCCAAATTTTCTCCACCCCCCTCAGAAGCTTCACGACCAGCCAACTTCTCTCATTCACCACTGCCACCACACATCTCCGTTCTTGGCAGCACCGGTCCCGTTAGAACCACCTCACTTCCCTCTTCGATTCCCGACCGTTCCCAGCCTTGATCCGCCGGCGTGGTCGCCGGAACCAGCCACGAAACAGGCGTGTTGGACAGTGTTTTTTAGTAAACTTTCGGGAGCTCGTTCAGACGCCTCCGGCCACCAAATCTTTCAAATTGGATAATATTTTCTATCCTTTCAACATATTCTAGCTGCTGGTTGTGTTATTTTTGAGAAATTTCTGCGTTTAATTGGTTGATTAAGCGATTGAAGTTTTGGCCAGTTTCGGCCTTCGATTCCGGCCACTTCTGGCCACTTTTTGGGGTAGGTCCAAGGACAAAAGTGATTCCAAATAGGGTATTTTACCTAGGGTAGGAAACTTGGCCTTCAACCTTGAAGTTTTCCGGCCACCGAAATTTAACAAGACACCCACACGCTTCCGGCGAGTGTGACGGCGCGTGGGCAGGGTGGTGGTCTGATATTATTTCTAAAATTATCCTTATGTTGTCACGAGCATGTAGAAATTCGCGGATCTGAATTCAGACAACGTTTGAACCCAGAACAGATCTCGCATATTGTGCGATTTCCAGGTTTGATACGTTTAAACCGTTGGATCGCAGTCAATTTCTTATATGTTGACCTATGTAATTCCAGGATTGTGTAGGATTCAATAGATTGTGAATTGGAGTCCCAGATACTCCGAAAAGGTGAACCCTAGGGCTAAGTTTACAATAACCGTCCGATCGTGTGATCGTGAGTAGTCCGACCATCCGATCGAGACTAGACTCTTGGGACATATGTCCTAGGCATGTTAGAACCTCTAGGAACTCTCGGATCAGAATTTTTTAGGTTGTGGACCCCACGGGGTCTCGTGTTGACTTTTTGGGACTTATAGCTTTTGAGTCCTGAGGCACTTCTAGACCGTTCCAATCAGTGGAAAAGCTTACATAGCCTTGAGAATGACCTTCAATTCAATGCACGCACTTCTAGGAGCCCCGGGCCAGGACTTTGGATTAAATAATGAGGATGAGCTCCATAGAATATGTTTAAGCTTTTAGAAAGTTCATGTGCGTGCGAGTGTTCAATTGGTTTATTTATGGTCTTAATTCCTTGATTTTATGTGAATTCAGGATGAGTATTTAATTATCTGTTGATTTATCACATGCTTATATATTCATATGGTTAATTATGTTGTAAGATTATTAATATAATCTTTGAATGGTATGTTAATCAGAGATCGACATGGCTAACATACTAGCTAAGTGTATAATATTGTATATCCAATAATTGAAAAGGATGAATCATGGCACTTGGCTTCCATCAGATTGTGGCATACAAATGTATATATATTTTAAGTTTAGTTGAGAACAAGTTTATTGAAATTTGATATAAAAGACGGGTTATGGTTTTCAAACTCACCACGAGGGTGCCCCCCTAGTTACTTTGAAACAGCTTGGTTATTTTGATAATGCCTCACGAGTTTCAGGGACGCTTGAACTGTGTGGTGCGAGGAATGCGGCTCGAATTGAAGTGGTATCTCCTAGACTCGCGAGGATTGCGGCTCAGATTGAAGTGTTATCTCTAAGACCTACGAGGATTGCGGCTCAAATTGAAGTGGTATCTCCAAGACCTGCGAGGATTGCGACTCAGATTGAAGTGTTATCTCTGAGACCTGCGAGGATTGTGGCTCGGATTGAAGTGGTATCTCCGTGACCTGCGAGGATTACGGCTTAGATTGAAGTGTTATCTCTGAGACCTGCGAGGAATGCGGCTCATATTGAAATGGCATCTCCGAGACTTGCGAGGATTGCTGCTCAGATTGAAGTGTTATCTCTGAGACCTGCGAGGAATGCGGCTCGGTTAAGTTTAGGTTTCCGAGACCTGCGAGGATGGAATTGACGGTATTAAAGGAATTGACGGATCAGAAATGGGGGTAGAGAGAATTTACGCTTAGGTGGAGAGAATTTAAGCTTTAAAATGCTTTTAAAGTAAAATTGAGGAACTTTATACAGTTACTATCATTTTCTTAATTGATATATTTATGTCACAAGAGAAAGACGGATATATATATACATAATTAATTATTTATGAACCCTACATGAGTTCGATACAAAGGTATTCGGAGCTTGTTTATTTTATTTTATTTTAATCCGTTTTGCTTTAATTTATCTTATTTTATTTTATTTAAGTTGTTTGCCTTTATCTTTTTAGTATTGGATATGGTATTAAATAGCTCAAGTATTTCTAGCATACTTTGCCTCACAAGTCTTAGAGATATCCGGACCGTGAGAGCGATAATTGCGGATCAGGTTGACCAGATGTCTCCTGAGTCCAGCGAGGATTACAGGGCAGGACGTGTCACCAATGGTGTCACGAGGAATTTATAGTTATGGTTTTCCAAGAGTGATTACTTGAATCTAAATGCTTTTATTCATTTATTTAAATACAATTATTGCCATGTGAGTAATGTCAGGACGCTTGGAACTGGAATAGAAGAATTATGTGTGGCTTGATCCCTGGTTGATGGTACATAGGCAACCTAGAATTACTAGGCGCAGCCGCGAGGCAAAAAAGATTGAGAAATGGTTCAACTAAATTATTTTGAATATGTTATTGTGTCATGTTGTTCTAAAAGTTAGAATTAGTTCCATGTGATAGAATGATTTACTTGAATTACTAAGCCCTGGGGGGCAGAATAATATACAGTTGTTTTCTTGGATATAATTTAAAGCATGCTGGCAGTTGGGTTATATGTTTGTATATTTATACTTGTTTTACAGGTGGTAATTTTGGGAAATGTTCAATTTACAGGGTGACTCTGCCGAATTTTCGGCAGAAGTCAAACTTGAGATAATTGTAATTTGAAAAGAAGGGCAAATAGGTCATTTCTGCCTAGCATACGCCAAGTGTCGAACATGTATAGGATTCGGCTCGAATTCCAAAGTGGAATTTGGGTTGGGTCTTGTCACAAACAATTTCACAAAAGACTTGATAAATAGAAATTAATTATTTTGTGGACTTTTTCTTTAAACTTCTAATATTAAATAATAATTACTAATTAAATTAATTCAAAAATGCTAAGATATTACTTAATTACATATATTAAATTAAAGAAGTAGGACAAAAACAAAAGTAAAGAAACTAATTTTATATTTTTAAAATTGAAAATATCAAAAATAAAAAAACCTGCCCAGACGAAACTTCATCGGCATAGGTTTATGCCCACGATATTTCTTCTTTTTTTTTTAGTATTTATAAATAAAAAAGGACGCACCCAACTCATAGATGCCACATGTCAAAAGATTGCAGCCGGTCGGATATACTATTTCAAAAAATAATAATAATTGGAAAAACGAGTATAGCCGCACGGCTATACTATTCCTTGACAAAATTCAAAAAACAGTATAACTGTGCGGCTATACCCTTTTTAAAAAATCTATATTATTTTTATTCAATAATATGTGGGAATTATGCATATAATACGTGAATTTTGTGTCTTATTGAATTTTTTGTAAAAAATTCGTGTATTATACATGAGAAATACGTGCGTATGTGTATAATATATTATTAAACGTGAAAGTGCTAAAATCTTTATACAATTAATAGCTCTGGAAAAGTAAAAAATCAAAAAGGGACAATTAATAATTCAAAATAATTACTAAGTAAAGTAATTAAAAAAGGCTCAGATATTACTTAATTACATATACTAAATTAAGGAAGTAAGACAAAAAACAAAAGTAAAGAAACTCATTTTATATTTTTAAAATTGGAAATATTAAAAATAAAAAAACTTGTCCCGACGAAAGTTTATCGGCACAATCTATGCCGGCGAAAGTTCTGAATTAAATTTTATTTTTTAAACAGTATAACCACACGACTATACTATTTCTCATGGCATTTGGTGAGAATTTGCTCTCTCTCTCTCTCTCTCTCTCTCTCTCTCTCTCTCTCATGAGAATATTGTATTTGCGGTGTTTGTTTTGTGCTTGATTAAGGAAATTTTAAATCTGGTTCTTTTGGAGTTGAAATTTGATTTAACAGGACATGTTGGTGGTTCCTTGATTTTGTTATATCAAGATGATGGGACTTTTCGTGTGAATGTGCTAGGAGCTCAAAGTGCAGAAGGCTAGGTGGGGAAGGGATGGAAGGGTGAGAATTGGGTCTGGAGTATTTTGAGGAATACAGGTTGGGGATGGGTGCCCACTGTGACAAAGAGATAGGGATTGGGGTTGGGAGGAATTGGAGGAGGAAGGTGTGGGCTGTGGCGATGGAGGAAGTGGAGGGTTGTGGAGAAAGGAGAGGGTTGTGAATGACTTTCCAAATTTACCCTGACTTTTGACAAAAAATTTAAAAAATACCCTGACTTTTGACAAAAAATTTAAAAAAGTTCGCCGGAAGAACTAATGATGCAACACAACACCTAATTAAGTGACCTCTGTAACTGTTTTTGGAGTTGCGTGACCAAATTATAATTCCGAGTATAGTTGAGAGACCATTGCTACAAATAAACCTTATAATAATGTAGGAGATTGGAGGGAATTGAAAAAGAACAGAACCTTTAATAATTTTCATTTCCACAAAATTATTCATGTGATTTACAAGGAAAGTTATTTACTTGATACAAGTTATATATGAAAAAGAAAAGAAAAGAAAAGACAGCATACGCATCAAAGTGAAGCCGCAGCATTGTACAAGGCAGACCACAACTACAGACTACCTACCCATTGTCAACCGCACAGCTCCTCCTCTCCCTTGTAGTTTAGTTTATCTAGCCTCTTTTTCATTTTTGATAGAATCTACCCTTTTAACATATAGATCATCAAAAGAAAGAAAATTACAGTCTGGCAGCCTACATTTTCCTACAATCTAAGAATGGTTCTCAGTGTATCACAAAGATTTTGAATCGTCTGTTGTTCCTGAGTTGCTTGCAACTCTTGGAGCGGCATATCTTCGTAGCACCTGAAGCAAGATGTGGGCAGTAAAGAACAAGCAACACAAACAAGGAAATCACTTGTAAAAGCAACATTTTTCTTTTTCATTTTGTACCAAGCCAAAGTAAATGTTCAATGCAAATATAATTTTGTTGACATACATCTTGTGGTAGGCTAAAGCCTGTGCGAGATTCATTAGAGTTGAACTTGTAAAGAGCCTTTTGTAAACACTTGGAGGGAGGGGCATCTGCAGCACATCAAGGGATCAAAAAATGCTTAGAGAGAGAGAGAGAGAGAGAGAGAGAGAGATTTGACCTCGTTTTGCCCTCTTCGTCCCTTTTTAGACTGTCCATCACCAGTAAAAAGCTCCTGTAGAGCCTCCACGGCTACACTTCCATTATTTTCCTCATGCATGCCTCCAAGAACATTATCTGATAAGAGAGCAATGGGGGATATATCCGTTGCCCTCAAAAATGGAATAGGCACTGTATTACCAGCTGCATATATGGACCAAAGCTGCCATAAAAATGAAAACAAGCAATTAAATACTTGCATTGACCTTGGAAGGGGAGGGTTTAAGTGGAGGGGGTTGGAATGGTGTTCGATTAGTGAGGAGAGAACCAAGTGGCTACAAAGGGAGGAGGGCATGTTTGATTGTGATAGGGGCCTATCAACTGGTAACCATAAAATTCAGGATGAATATTACCTTATCTTGCATTGCAAAAGCTTTCCGGTTGACAGTTTCATTCTTCAATGTGCCACTGCTTTGACCTTCAACCTGTCCTTTTGTCTTTAGGTTCTGCTCAGAAGAGCCAAGAATTGAACGAGAAGATGCCTGTATGGTCTGTGTAACTGAATGTGGTTCTCCAACCGAAATGCTATGTGAGGAAACACCTCTTGCATTTTCCACCCTGATAGAACATCCCAATAAATTCAGTGCGGTCTTCTAGAAATAAGTTTATATTTTGACTAGGAAATTTATATCGTATATCAAGTAATCTATCTTTTATCTACATGAGCAAATTAGTATTATCACAAACTACTACGTCCACACCCCCCAACCAAAACAGAAAAAGAAGGGAAAAAAAAATCTTAAAAACAGATTTCTGAATAAAAATTCACAAATAAATAGTGAGGGAAGTACCTGGGTTCAGCTGGTTTACCTCCTGTGCCAGTATTGGAAGGGTTTTCAAGAAATCCTAGACCAGCTGCAGGTTCTTTGACATTAAAACTTTGTGTCTGATTAGCAGTCTCATCTCTTTCATCTCCACCGTGAATTATTACAGTGCCAAAATTACCTGTTAAACATAGGTTTTACGTAGATCAGATGATCATGCCCTACCCCAAGAGTTCAAACAAGAGAATAAATAATTATGCCCTCACAGAATCATTTCACTAAGATACATTTAGCCAACCGTTCTTAGAGATTCACAACATGAATAGAGCAACCCCAATATATCAAACATCAAGTGATGTCCTGTACCAAAAATAGAAAGCAGTAAATGATGTCACTATCACTAGTAGCTCACCATTCCATTTGCACCCTTATAAATCTAATATTATGAAAACACATCGTCCAGCCCACAGTTGGCTTCATCACAATATTCATGCAATTAAAAAAAAACAATAAATGCGTAAAGGAAAAAAAAATTAAAGGAACAAGTTTCCATTAGGACCTTAACGTCCTTGCTCCGAATTCAATATCCAAGCACAAATTAGTTTTTCATATTTCAACCTACTGAAGACAGCTTACTACAGACATCTGAGTAGATGGCACATGCA